GAATGTTTTGCTTAAAGGATGAGTATTCGGTGGGAAGACCACGAATAACAGCATTCACCACATCACGTTCAGGGATCTCTTCTTTCAAGGCATCGAGATCCGAGAGAATAGTTGCCACATCATCAAGGTATTGTGTCATAGTTTTGGTACCTTTACGAAGAGTGTGGAGTTTGTCCCGAAGCTGATAAACATGAGCGGTGGACACGGAGTTGTACCGTGCGGCCAAAGCATCCCAGAGGGCAGCAGATGTGGTGAAGCCGCGAGCATGTTTGTGAACGGAGGGGCTGATGACCGCTAGGAGGCAGGCGCGGATCTGTGTGTCAACGATGGTCCAGGAGGTATACTCTGGATTAGGGACGGTTTTATCGTTTTTGGAGATAGTTGGCGCCGGGGCTGCTTCATGACCATCAATCCATCCAAGGAGGAGATTAGCTGAAAGAGCTGTCTGGACATTGAGAGACCATGCCGGATAATTTGTTTCGGTGAGTTTTTCTGGAATTAAGTTGTGGAGACTCCGAAGTAAAAGTTTTACTCCGGAGGGTAAGGACGCCAAAGGATCCGACGGGGCTGCCATGGTGGGCGGCGGTCGGAAAAAAAAAGAGGCTAGGTTTTTGAGAGCCTTAGCTCTGATACCATGATACAATTTGATAATAACTTGTCTTATTGAATATTGAGAGATATGGCCCTATATATAGGGAATACAAGAGTAATCAAAGTACAAGTAGGAAAGGAAAGAATAATCCTAGTAGGAAAGGAAAGAAGTATCCTAATTTAATTATACTTCCTAATAGCGTGTAACGGGTTTAAATCAAACCAGCTGATCCAAGTGGAGTCCATAGGAAATGTTAAGAAACTGTGGGCGTGTGTAGTAGACAAATCCCAAATTGCCCTCTTAAAAGTATCATTTTATTTTAAATTACGAGGCTTGACTGAATTTAATTATATTTATTTACAAATTTATATGGAATTAAGAACTAATTCATACATAAATTATTCTCTAAAACTAGATGTGACATGGCTTATTATTTTAATCAACAAGTTAAGATGTGACATTCAAATCGTAAAGAAGACGATAATTTTGAGACTGTTGGAATGTATTTGGTACTCATGACCACCTGTTATCACGGAATAGAGTAATTGAGTAATCGAAGCAAACAGAAAACGTGAAGACACACAGATTTAACATGGTTCACCAACATTATGTTGGCTACGTCAACAAGCAAGAACGGAGGCAGATTCTATTATGACAACGATTCCAGAGTACAGAGTTTTTGTGTCTTATCTCTATATAAATAGGCACACAAGACAGGCTCGGTCCAATACAATAGCCCAATACAATAATAAGCATACCATCGGCCCGGGGGCGAGACCCCGTTTCCTCATATGTGTAGCGGCAAACAATACACATTCGAGGCATATTAACACCACCCAACAAAAGTTCTTCGGTCGTGTGAAAGGTTCTATAGGTAATTCATATTTAGTTTTTGAGCATTGTGTACAAAAAATACTTAAATATTTATTAAATGAATGTGTGAATATGAATTGCCAAAGACTTGTGGTCCAGCGGTATCATCGTGATTCTCTTATATAGAAAGTCCCAAGTTCAATCCTCAGTGGACATTAAACCTCCACTTGATTAATGGGTTGAGACTTGAGAATGTATTAGCATATACTCCGTGCTACATTATACTAGAGTTATTATTAGCCTTCGGAAAAAATGGAATTGTAATACAAGTAATTGATGAAGGAGGCCGGTTCAAATGACATTGAGAACCAATGTCATGAGATGACCTGAGGGTGCAATTGAAGGGGGTGGGGGGCCGCGTTCGGGTCAGGGCGTGGTGGGGGGTTTACCGGGGGAGTTAGGGGGGTAGGAAACGTCAATTTTATGAACGGGACACCGGAGCACCCTCAGGTCATCTCATGACATTGATTCTCAATGTCATTTGAACCAAGGTGTTGATGGAGTCTGCAATTGATTATTTAACTACTTTCACCTAATTAATTTATTTATGTGCAAGCCATGCTATTTTTAGTATGGAGTACAAGTAAATGTATCTTTAGTTTGTCGGGTTTGTAAAGATTTTAAGGTATAAAACATAAAAAAAACATTATATTTTAAAACATGAAAACTGAATTTAAATATTTCAATTTTTAAATATACATGAACCGAGTAGCTTAATTGAGTATTGAATACGAATACGAATAATTATTTGAATAAAAAAATACGAAAATGAATAGTGGTATATTCATATTTGTATTTTCTTAAACACGAATACAATTTTATATTATTGGATTCCTTCTCTTACGACCCTACCTGAGACATAATGGTAATTCTTCCTTTGTCTTAGGGCCTTTTTGTTTCAGCCTCTTAATGGTTCAGATGTCTGAATGATTCAGCACTTAATGATTCAGACTATTTGTTTCAGCCTCTTAATGGTTCAGATGTCTGAATGGTTAAGAGATTTGTCTCTGAATTGTTAAGCATTATACAGAGTCTGAATGGTTAAGACCTCTTATCTGAATTGATCAGACATTTGCCTCTGAATAGTTAAGCAATATACTAACTCTTAATTGTTCAAACCTCTTACTGGTTCAACACTTAATGGTTCAGACCTCTTACTGGTTCAGCACTTACCTATTCAGAAGTTGCCAAACAGCCCCTTAGAAAGGTTCTCTTCATTCCAGTCAAATTTTAATCATTTTTTTATTTTCATTACTCATCTGATAAAATAATAAAGTGTTGCTACTTGTAGAAATTTTATTTTAGTTTTGGTATTTAAAACTTTTATTTTTAAATATATCTAAATTTTCATATTAAATATCAAATGCCAAATATTATGCTCTGCATATATTATTATTAATATTCTATGTGTCGTGCACATGTGAAATAAAATTATCTTTTATTCTATAAAAATCTACAAAAAGAATTCTGCATTTCTATTTTTACTCGTCTCATGTGTATCTATCGATTTTCTCTAAAATCTGGGACTATTTTATTCACATTCATATCTTTTCCTGCATTAGATAAATTAAAATTGTTAAGTATAAGGTAATAATAGTTTCATTTGTCAAATAGTTTAGTCATGTCACCTCTAATCTAGTAAATTTTTTTATCTAGTTTTTAAATATATGTTTTTATTTTTTTAATTCTAGACTAATTATCATATAAAATAATTTATAAATAATTCCAGTCAAATATCGTAATTCATGAAAATTCGTGGATGGAGGGAGTATTTATTAAAATGTTTCTTCTAGCTCAAATAGATCAAAAGTAAAATCAATTTAAAAAAATTGGAAGCATTTCTTAAAATAACATACGTAGTTTTTTAGATACTTCGATCTTGTATAATTGAATATAATTGACATTACTATATTATTTTATTAAAAAATATTTATACATCGAAAAATTGTGTGTAATTTTTAAGATTATTTGAGATCCGAGGAAAGTATTATAAATACTAAATTTGGAATAATGAGTTTTTAAAAAGATAATTACAGAGTATAATTTTCGGAAAAATGAGTGAAAGCTAAGGAAAAGGAGAAAATAAGAATTAAATAGTGAAAGTAAATATTCAATTTTTTCAAATTTTATTAAAGGACGTTGGAATAACTTTTTTAAAAAAATTAATTCTTTCAATTTCGACATGAGTGCCACATAAGCAATGCCAAGCAATGCCACATGTTATTGTTCAATTTAATTAATTCTCATTTGAGTAACATTATTTACGAAGGAACATCTTAGGAATAAATCTCAATTATAGAGGACCACTTAGGTAATTAAAACTTATTGAGGACTAATTTGGGAAAACACCTTATTACAAAGGACTATTTTGGGAATTTACTCCAAAATAAAACTATAACCCAAAGATTTAATCTATGTCAGCAGTCACCTTTATTATTAACTTATTAGGTTAATAGTATAAAAACCTTTAAATCTACTAAATAAATCGTGGTGATAAAAGTAATGAGTCGAAATTTAATAAGTTAAAAAGAATGCAACATTCAACCACTCAAAACACCCATATTTAATGAATTCATTTATTTAGTAGTATAAATAAATAACTTTAAATGAAAGGAGCATTTGCCATAACAAATTTATGTACACTTACAACTTACAACCACCAACAC